ACTTCAAGTTGTTTTAATGAAAGTGTTAAGACTTTATTAGCAAAGAAGTATAAAAACTTCTTGCAAACATCTTTTTTTTGTGTAATCAAAGGATCAGTGGAAAGAGTTCATATTTGATTTTGTGGATAGACATAAAATGTACACATATATAGTATATACAGTATATTATTCATATTCCCAAAATTGATTTTGAACTCCAAATTAATTATAATAATAATTATTATAAAGTATAAAATTTAAGCTTTAGAATTATATAAAGTTTTTAAATTAAATTTTTGTATATAAAAAAAATAACTTTCATCGAAGCTACGATAATCACGTGATTTCAGTAAATCAAATGGGAATCATACAATACATACATTTTCTTTTATCGAGAGTTGAAGCATAAACAAAACTCGAAATGGCAATAAGGAAGGACAGGACAGCCCGTCAATCTCCATTAGTGCGTTTATCAAATGACCTATGTCTTGGGAAGTCGAAATATCCACAATCTTCGAGATCATTGTATGCCTGCAAACCTTGTATACTACATATCTATTTACATAAAAAGCCACTGATCTGATCAGCAGAGCACTGATAACAGACGAAAAAATTTACTTCCTTCCCTTGCATTGTCTCACTTCTGCATAAACTAGATTTTTTACGCTATACACTTTTATAAAAAATGTCTTTATTCCTCACCGTTCTACTTTGACGGAAGAGAGATCAACTCGCACGATGGCAGACGTTGTGAAAAATTATAAGATGGAAGAAATTATTGACTATCTACGGAGACAAGATTTGGATCTCATTGAAGCGGATTTCAAGATATTTCGTAATGAGAGGATTTCTGGTCGTGCGTTTCTCAAATTAACAGAAGAAAAGTTTCGAAGTATAGGGTTCGCATTGGGAACAGCAACCGTTCTTGTAGATTTTATCGAAGAGATAGCAGAACAAAAGATAGTCCTACAAAACACTGGATGAGTTAAAAGACGTGCTCCGTAAATATAAAGTCAATGGTGAGGATATAACAAGCATCAAGCAATTTAATCCGGGTATGTGTTATTTTACTTGGTATTTTTCCGAGACATAATGCCCGCGAATTTCTTGGCAAAAGTGATCGGCGTGAACAATTGTTCACGCATGCATAGATTATATGTTAATATTTTTTCTATTGTATAGTTTTCAAGGAAATCAATGACGATGATAAAGCGCTCGAGCAGTGTATGAATGAAATCACATTGAGACTTTCGAATCTGGAAACGATGCAAGATAGTACCAATGAGGCTACGCGTTTACGTCGGTATTAAACGCATCTCTGGCTATCGTTCGACGTCTTACCAACGAAGAAAAAATCTATATAGCATACCAAAAGGGGGTTTCTGGCGAGGAATCATCCGGGCGTGTTGATCATGCAATCAAAGGAAACGATGATCTCATATGTATAGCAGAAGGGAAACCTCATAATGTTGAAATCGGCTATCTCCAGAATATCATGCAACTAGAGAGTGCGTATCATACAAACAAAAAGAAACGTACTGCAGATGAAGCGTTTCGAAATGACGATTACGACTATCTCTACGGAATAGTTTCTACAGGTATGTCGCATTTACAAATATTCTATTTTGTTATATACTAATAGAAAGTGGTTTTATTTCTAGCTACGGAATGGCATTTCATCGTTTTTGCCACCGATGGGATCTATTGCACAAGTAAAAGTGAATATCGAATTAATCTTTCCAAAACGGTACTTAAAAGATCTAGAATCTATGAGAGATGACGCGAAGCAAGTATTGGGTGTTATTGTTGGATTATTAAAAGATAGAATTAGTGTCGATAACTCCCCAGCCAGCAAGAAGGCAAGGATCAAAAAAATTACAAAATAATAACGGTAGATAGTTTCACATATTTTCATGTATTTTACCCTGGTAGCTCACGCACATTGTATTAATAAAGCGATCCAACCTAAATGGTCTTTTTTTTTCGAATTTATTTTTTGTATGGTGTTATTACATTATATTTTTGATGCAGTCACAAAGTGGCCATAAATTTACTTTTGAATATATCTGTATTTTATTTAAAAAATGGCAAACACGCAATCCAAAATTGATTTACTTGAAGAACAGATTTGCAAGCTTGTAGATGATAATGATACACTTAGGCGAGAAAACGCCGAGATCAAGTCTGAGAACATCGAACTTAAAGCTGAGAACGTAAAATTAAAACAAGCTTTAGAAGAGCATGAATCCAGATTTATAAAACTGGAGCAAAACGATAAAGATACTGCTACTGAAAACGCTGAACTTAAAGCTAGGGTTGCGAAATTGGAACAGAAGCAATCGCAATCTGACAACTCTATCGCTAAATCGGGTGATAGTACCAAGGTAAATGATCAATATTCAGTTAATAGCACCTCCAACATAATGGAAAATTCTAACAGTACCGAACAGATAGTGCCACAATATGATGATACTCCTAAAACTAATATTTCTGATATCACTTCAAATTCCGATATATACCAGGATTCGGAAATCGCCATATATTCCGCAGAGACCAAATCATTGGGAGATAAGATGATCGATGAAACCCTGAATGAGGCACACAAGAAAAGAGTTAGCGATTCGATCAGGTAGAGAAAGCATGAGGAGAAGCTTAAACATGAATCAGTTATCCAGGATGTCTCTTCTGACTTATCATATAACAAAGAAATCGTTAACATTGTTAACGATCAAGATCCGAAATTATCACATGATACAGAAACCGTTAACGATCAAGACCTGAGATTACCACGTGGGGAAAAAGCCATTGCGAATATTATAGATGAGCAAGTCCAGAAAGGTATCACAGATTCTACCGAAGATTTAACTTTAGTGAATGAATTCGTACAAGGTTTATTACAAGACTTTACCTCACATAATAATCAATGTTGGGAATCTATAGAGTTAACCATATCGGGAAACCTTCAGAAGCTCGCACATTTATTTTATCAGGCAAGTATCGCAAGAAAAAAATTCGTTCAATGCAAAACGAGAAGAAATTTTATCTTGGATTCACTATTCTGAAAGATGTGAAGATAAGGTTGTAGAGTTTAGATCTGGGGATAAAAAAAAAACTCACAGATAAGTCTGCAAGAAATAGGATTTACGTGTGATGACCTGTAAAGCAAGAAAGATTAATAAGTTATTTGGATACGAATACGATCCTGTGACATTAAAAAGGGTATAGGTTGGTATATGATTAATCGAATTGCTTGTAGTGCCGACAGTATTTCAAGACTCACTAATCCTCAAATTCGATATATTATAGATCATGTGACTTCGAAAACCGTTAACAGTGTTTAACGATAAAAATCGTGGGACTGAAGTTTCTGAACATAGCTCGGGAAGCAATAAAGAAAAAACAGGCAAAAAAGAAAATAAGATAAATGAGGATTTCTCACGCAGTGAGGATGCTATTGCATCTAAGTCTTTACTAGAAACAGAATCAAGCGTTCAACCACTCCCTCTATCTCATCATCTCATGCCTCTAGCCACGAATTGACTGCCTCCGGTATTCAGAAACGATTCCAGAAGAGGCAGAGTCGCGAGTTTCCAACTCATCAACCGAGATGCATGCAAGTGTATTTTGATGAAGACGTTAATGATAATGAGGATAATGATGAGAATTTCTCTGATGATGGATGTGATAATAAGGAAACTTCTGATAATAGTGACGATGATGAGGATTCCTTCAATGACAATGAAGATGGAGGGTTCTGTGGACTTTCTGACGACGATGATGAAGGTAAGCTATCTTAAAATGAAAATTAATTGGGTTTAGTTAGAAGATCGAAATAATATAAAATTCTATTATTCCATAGTATTCTCTGCAATACATACATAGCGCTTTAGCACGATTTTTTACATGACTATTTTTTTCGTGTGATGTGGATGCGAAGTGAGCATGTATGCTAATATTTCTCGATCAAGTTTCATTATAACGAAGTTATCGATTTAGAATTTGAAATGCGCAGTACCATTCTTTCGGTACCAATTATACAGACAGTTTCGTTTTCATATATCACGGGCATAAGTTACGCATCATATAATTTATTCTCAAAACTTCCTGCATGTACAGTACATAATAAAACCTCTTTGTTGAGTCAGGATTATAGGTGATCACAACTTCATCGGGATGGCATTAAATTCTTTTTTATTAAGCTAATGAGAGGCCGTTGATCAGATTTTTGTGATGCGATCATATTAACGTAATTTCCCCCAAAATTGATCCTGCAAATTATATAAAATGGTGATGTCCCTGTTAGCGAATCCTTTTATCTGCCTTGTGCAAGCAAAACGAAAAAATCAAGCGAAATAATCAAACTTAACTTACTATTATTTACATCGTCAATATTATCATTCCAACGAACAAGTATATTTCGCAAGGTGATGTTTGTTTTATTACTCAGTTAGCTTTTTGAAACATGCCATCATGATACTAACCGATTTTTCCGCCTCTATAGATGTTCCAAAATAAAAAAAAAAAATCGACCGACTTTTATATAATGTATTAAGCAATCAATGGAGTATTGTGAAAATGAACTATATCAGTAAGTGTGGATTGGAAGAATTATTTTTTTTTTACTTCGGTTGCTAACCTCCCGAATTTAGAAATTTTTCTATCTTGGTAAAGTTCTCTTGCGGGAATAATCCTAAATAACCTATGTGTAGTGATATAGATGTATAAAAATTCTGTAGAGTAGAAAAAGAGTGTGGGTAAAATCTTGTGATTAGTAGCGATAGAAAAAAAATTAGATATTTTTCGTAAAAGTGAGAAAGGGACTCGCATTAAATGGCCTAGGATCCGCGTACTCCCTCCCCCTTTGAGAGCTTCATATTTTATTCGCTTCTCGACATCTGAAAGTAATAAATTTCGTTTCACCCCCATTAATCCTTTTGACAGTCATTGCGTTGCGCAAGCTTCGAAAAGGGCTTATAAACAGCAGTGATAATAAGTCTCTTTGCAGTCGCTACTTGAAAATAGAAATTACCACCCCCATTAAGCCTCTTGACAGTCATTGAGTTGCGCAAGCTTCAAAAGGGCTTATAAACAGCAGTGATAATAGAGAAAAACCGTTTCCTTGTGCGTAGTTTTTTTTAAAATTTCACGTAAACACGTGCTCTTTTATTTATAGTAAGATTGACATGGTGTACAATAAAATACAGTATACGCGAGTCAAGAAAATAACACGAAAGAAATATTTACCATTTTATTATATAACTATTCTATTCACTGAATCCTTGAAAATGTGTGAGAATGAGCAAGACTTGGATAGTAAGTATATTTGAACAATTTACACCAGTCAATTTTTACAAGAGATTTGATTTATTACACTTGCAACGCGGTTTTGCGGAACAGAAACTTCGCGGATTTCTCACCGAGGTTGCTACAGGGAGTTCAAAATATAGGGAAAAAGCGAATGATATTTTACAAAATCTCCATCTTACAATAAAATCACGTTCCGTTGAAGAATACTGGGAGAGAATTAAAATGTTGAAATTGAAACAACAACTGAATCGCACCAAAAAGTTAAAGGTATATTCAAATTATTGAATTTTTATTGCAGAATGTTAACTTATCTATAATATTTTGCACTCAACTAGTGTTTAGAAGAGACGATAGAAATACTTGAAAATATAACCGAAGCCCGTATCGCGATGCACGATATATACAGTATAATCGGGAATTATTGCAAGAAATGCGAAACGATTCTCAGGCAGAATATTTCGATTCAGAACTTAATCATCTAGGAGAGAGTTCTAAGAAACGAGAGCAGTTAGACAATCAAAGGGTAGAAGTCGAAAATTTCCCAGAAGGTGATGATTATTTGACAGATCCTGAAGAAATTTCTCAAAAAAAGGTGTGGATACGAGTTTTTTTCGTTAAGGATTAACACATTCAATTTATATTTCACTATATTGACTTTGTGTATTTCTGTAGGATGAGATAGACACTTTCTTCCAAAGTCCTCCTGATATTGCTAAAGATGTGAGAGCGAAATCCGGAAAGCGTAGGTCAATGAAAGATACCGAAAGCAAGAGCGCTAAACCTCCTAAACGAAATAAATCAAGTAAGAAAATTGTTGTTGACGCTGGCCAATCAACCAGTGTTTCCTCTATGGATGTACAACAAACGCCCAGCGGAACAGAAGATTCGATCGTCGATACCACCTGCGATGAATCCGAATCACCCGTCGAAAAAAATACTAGAGAAAAAGCGGAAAAGGTAAAGTTTTTCAAGTAATTGACTACAATTAGGCAAGCTCATGGAATATTATTTATGCAGTCAAGGACGATACTTTCGTGGGGACACGTTGATAAGATAAAAATTTCTAATAATTCAGATCACGATGTAAGTATTGAAATATAATAGCTTCATTATAATAAATGTTCATTAATAATTATGTTTTACCTATAGTGGTTGGTAAACGGATATAATATTTCCAGAGATTTTCGAGAATTTCAAACGGAAACGGTTGATCGAATAAAGAATGATCCTACACTTTCATACGCGACTGACCTTGATGAAATCATGTAAGTATCTTGTTGTGCAATGTAATTGGATTTTTTTCTTCCAACATTTATTTAATTTTTATCATAATTTAAGGTGTCTCTCGTCAATAATGTACGTGAAAGAAGATAAGCCGAAATTTATAAATTGTACTGATCAAATTTGGAAGGGCGCGTTGCACAGATCTCTTACTCCTACAACCTTACCGGTTAAAGTTCGGCTATTCATGTTTGAATATAATACAGTAAGTTCCACAGGATAGTGAGAACATTGTAATATGTAATCGATTAATGATAATTTGCTTTTTAGCTTTTAACGGATAAAAAAATTGTTGAGAGAAAAGTGGCGCCAAACATGGGCTGAATGTGATACTTCAATGGATGAGAAAGAGGCTAGTATTTTTGAATGCGTGCAACTTGTGACTAGGAATTTGTAGGTGGAGGAATTCGATATTTTTTTCTATCGTTAATTATGCACTCATGGTTATCTTGTATTATATAGTTTTTTAAACATATCGTCAAGTCATACCACTAATAATACTATGGACGAAGACACTTTTGTTCCTAGATATTGTCACTCAATGTTGGAGGAAATTTTTAATACGGCGAATTATAAAATCGTGTGGTGAGTAAATCCTAATTTTATATTAAATAGTATATTATATTCAGTTCATACTACTAACGCTCTAGATTATATTTTCTACTTAATTACATTGATGAAATCAGGGCAAATGGAGAGTCTAGTACCTCAAAAGAACGACGTAAATCTGATGACAACAAGCATGGACGAAAACCGGATTTTAGAGTGCTCTTTGGAGAAGAAAATGAATTTATCTTCGGAGAGATAAAACCGCCTCGTGCACCAAATAATGCAATAAACCACGCTTTGGTTAAACTTGGAGTATTTATGAAAGGTTCTCTGGATTCTCTACACAAGCAGTTTGGGTATTCTCCGTGTTTAGAGACATTTGGATGCATAATTAAAGGTTAGATTGCCATTAGCGAAATTTTCTAAAGCTTTAACTAGGTCAACTTTGCTAACTGAATAGACATAAATTTAACAGGGTATCAAATCGAATTGTTTAGCATGGATCTTCCATTCGACGGATTATATCGTTTCAAACAGATAGGAAGGATGTTATTACCTACCGAAAACGCAAACTTTTTAAATCTAGCTTCTGCCATTTCATACTTTTATAGTTTGTTGGTAAGAGTCTGTTGTCATATTCTTAAACAAGTTGCATCTTATAATTTTGATTATTTCTTTTACTCAGGAAAGAGTTGATCGTTCTATTGAGGAATTGAATAAACCATCTACACCTACTGGCTTGTCGTACCATAAAGAATCGCATTCATCACCTCACAAAACTCATATACCAATCTTAAATATTCCGCCTCCTTCGATTGATTGATCGATTTTCATTAAATTTTAAGAATGATTAGGTATTGCACTATAAGTTTTCTCGAAATGAGGAATCTGATTTTTAACATTGTGTGGAAATGTAATGTGTAGTATGCGTATTGAAAAAAATAAAAAATACACTACTCTGTGCATTACCCGTAAAAAAAAGATCGATATTACACGCCTTGTGTTATTGTTTTATTACTGTATATATAATTGGTATTAATATACAAGGGTGAGATCAAACCCTAATCCAATTTTAAGGGTGTATTCCAACTCAATCTAATAGCAAGTGGGTGGTCTACTGTTTTAGTAAAATCGAAGACAACAAAATTTCGATCCCGTAAATGCTCATCAATTATCTTGGATGCTTTTTTTGGATCATCTGTGTATCGGCGTACGATTCTGCATATATCGTCCCTACTTAATAAGCAAAAAGCTGAGATGTTTTCACAAATAATTTTGAGGTTTGTGGCTTACATATACAGTATGGGTGAGATATTTTGATGTTGGCCACTAATGAAGTAAGGAATAATTCGTTCTTGCACTTTCTTTGGTTCCGCACATAAATATTCGAAAACAACAACTGTACTTCGCTCTGGAGAGAATTTAGTTATATCGGGGATCTTGTCTGGTGCTATCTTTTTGAATGTTACATCCTCTTGATATGGTTTTGGTGCATTTTTAAAGATCTGATATGCATTTATTACTAACTCCCATTTTGATTCAGAATGCTTCGATGGCAACAAATATTGGGATAGATGATTTTCATTTCTTGCTTCATACTGGATATAATAGTAAAGGAAATCGATTAATACATATCAGGTAGTTAACATGTATAACACAAAAAGAATATGAAAAGGTTTTGTTAAATATTCCTTGTCATTTTACTAATAAAATCATAACACATCTTCAATGTAAATTCAAAGATATTCCATTGGCACCAATAGTAATATATCTGAATATATTATCGTAATTGGATTCAGAGTATAATATTATTTAGTCTTGATAATAAGATAGTATCAATTATTGTATTTATCAATATTACCGTAAACCACTGCATACAATACTCCACCCTAAAGTAATATCCCCCTTAAATAATACCTGATAGTATTCAAGAAAATTGTTACTCAATAAATGATTACTACCCAAGTATATTAAGCTAGAGCCAATAAAATTGCAATATAAATAGACAAGTGAGAGATATGTTAAATAATAATAAGACACTAAATATCCCATCATTTATATTACCCCCTTTCTAGTAGAATACCCTCTTGGGTACTAATCAATTTATCATAGGATAAATTGATTAATATCCATGATATTGTATGCAGTGGTTTACGGTAGTATTTTTCAAATATTCTTTTTTAAGCAATTCACTCTTGATATAAGGAAATAAATTATAATTAAATAAAATATAAATAAGATCTATATTTTTTTTTTCACATACACTGTATAGAGCTTTTTTTTGACCATGTATTTGTTGACTATCTAAATCTATATTATTATACTTATAAAATATGATATTATGATTATATATTGGGATTCTTTGTATTCAAAAATCAATTTTAATTCTTTATTATATCTATCTAATTATATCTTATTCAAAAATAATAATTTATAAATAACCTGTGGGTCAATAGCACAGTGGTAGTACTCCCAGGTCGCAATCACAAGATCTGTAGTTCAATATCACTTAAGGACCAAAAATCAAAATTACCCTTCTGATCAGGTTTACTGGTTATCCTGTAAAAGTTGTACCCAATCATCCGGAACAAGCTTTAATCAGGTTAGGTTATATGAAGATGGGACTTCTGACTTTTCATCGATCAGGAGCTGAGATCTACAATCATATTACTGGAAGGATTACATAAAGAAAGGCTTCTGATCTAACCCACTATAAATGTCCCACAAGACTCTCTACCCTGGCAGTCTCCAGAACTCCCGCCCTTCTAGCTCAGGATATCCCAATATAGTGCTCCACTTAAATGAAAATTAGTAAATGGGACTGATCCGATGCCACAGGTGGTGACAAAAAAGGTAAAATACCCCTTTCTGAGGTCTGAGCGAATAATATCTGAGAGTATTGAAGGGTAAATTAAATCCCGTCGGGTACATACTATACAGACTAGTTTAGTGAATATAATTAAAAAAATTTATAAAAGTTCAATACTAAAATTAGCCTGTTTCACTGTCGATGACTGTGTATTAACTATCTGACTCCTAGCTGAATCTGCCCTACTCATAGAGTGGTTAGTGGATCCACCTAGAGAAAATCGTGATAGGTTATCATTAATTTGCATGTATATAGAAAATATATAGTTTGTATAAGATAATTAATGTGATACCCAGGATTTCATTATCTATAATATTAAGTTAATTTTTAATAAAAGTGCTTGTATCCAATATCAGTTGTGATTAAAAAAAAAATAATAATAATAATTTATAAGATAGAAATTTCTTATTTAATAAAATTTTAAAATATACTGTATCTTGTGTATGGCTTTTCTTTAAAATACATCATTAGAAATTATACTTCTAAATCTTATATGATATATATTATTGATAAAGTCTTTTTTTATATAACTAAAGATAAATATTATAACTATAATCTAATCAGTTTTACTAGGATATTTTTCTTTATACTTTTTAGCATATTGATTATTTTATTAATAATACAAATAAAATCAATTGATCTGAAATAAATATTTTTTTCCAATATCTTTAAGATAGATACTGTAAAGTATTTAAATCTATATATATAAACTCTTCTTTCATAAATCTATGTTTTAAAGCATATTTATCATTATTACTTTCAAAGTAATAAAAACTAGTTTATTTTTTATTACTATAATTTTGCTAATTTTATAAAGACTTAGATTAAATATTGGATTAGTTGTATATCTCTAATTTTTCATATCATCTTTTTATTTACATTTGCAAGTAAATAATAAATAGAGCCTTCTTTATTTAATATATTCTCTTTATTTTTCTCAAAAGAACATTTATATTTCATTGATAATCTTAATTTAACCTTGGTTAGTTTAATTATCTTTTTTGAAACTAAACTCTATTTTTTAAATCTAGAAGTTTCAATAAAATATATCAGTTTTTTTTTTTTTTGATAGACTCATGTCTAATTTTATTGTTTTCCAAATTATATATATACATTGTGTAGAGTATAGATACATAGATATATATCCAGGAACTATAAAGATAATGATAAGTTAAAGCTATTTCTAAAGCTAAATTGAGACTTATTGCTCTTTTTTTTATAAAAGAAAAATCAGCATCTCCAAAGTATGCTGGTATTATAAAATGAAAATAAAAAAAAATTAAATTGAATAATCATATGCATTCCTGAGAAGATATGGATCCTGTTTCTTGGCATGTATCTGTTTTGTTCTAGTTTCTTATAAAAAGATCTAGAGAAAAATTTCTACTAAATCTTTACAGAAATAAGATGGAGATCATTAAAGGAGACTTTATAGTTTTAAGACTTGTGGGGAAGGAGTAATTAGAAAGATCCAGATGGTATATTGATATCTGCATAAGTGATTTGAGAGTCTTCTAATATATTATCAAGTAAATCCATTCATATCTAAATATGAGTATAATTATCTATCTATGCATCTTATTTTAGATTTAATTCCTTATATAAAGGATAGCATCTAGTCTCACAGTAGACATACCTTACTGATGGTTGTTAGTATTAATGATTGATAAGGATTTCTCAGATTATTTGACTGGCTCACACATTACTACTGACATTTTCAAACTCAAATTTTGATTAATGTAGTAGTATTAGCCTTCCCATCTTTCAGCTTGAGATTTTTTAAAGATAGAATAAAAACTTCCTGTGTTGCTTTGTACACAAGCTTTACTACTGAGTGTCCTTAATAGTTTTATACTTTCTTCGATTTAAACTTTCTGAGCAGTAGAGGTTGAAACCTATCTGATATTCAATCAGGATATAGATGGCTCTGACTTAAGAAAAGATCAATTGAGCATCTTGTGACCTTTACTATGGTTGGATGGACTCTTTCTTGTATTCAATAATGTGTCAGAGGCATGTTCTATATCCACCTATACCAGATCATATAACTTATGGTAAATCACAGGTTCTTATGAAGCTGAGAAAATGTATTTAGACATATGAGATGGTCAATATAAGCTCGTTTATCAATTTTGTCTAGCGTGTTTCATTTCAGCCAATTAGAATTGATAAGATTTGTGCTATTTAAAATTTCAGGGTCAAGCTGGAATAGGTAAAATTCCCAGAAAGCTATGAAAAATGTAGCTTTAAGAGGTTATAACACTAGTTAAAGGATAGAAGAGTGAGTCTTTTGATTGAAATATAATTTCTGTTATCTTCATCATAACTGAAAGATGAGATGTACTTCAACATTAATCCTTTTCTCTTTAGGAACTTTCTTGCTATAGATAGTAAAGGTGGGAGCTGATCTTTGTAGTTACAAAAGTTCAATTTATTCGAAGGAGATTGTAAACAAGAGAAAGGGAAGGTGAAAAAGTTCTAAGGAAACTCTTTGAGTTAGTTTAAAGAATGTAGTAAGACTTTATTAGTATATAAGTATTAAAACTTCTTGCAAACATCTTTTTTGTATATGGTCAAAGAATCAATAAAAAGAGTTGATATATTAAATGTATCAGATAATTATTAAAATAATTTATTACTTCTAATAAATATTTGATCCATACTCTTATTGATTTAAGATTTAAAGTTATACTTTTAATAGTATACTAAATTTTATAAAGTATTTTTATAAGTGTCTTACAAAATCTATCTACAATCACAAGTTTATAATAATTATATAAACCAATACTTGAATTGTGATATTATATGTTTTTATTAATTAAGAAGTTTTATCTATAAATTCTTTACTTCAATTTTATTGCAAAAAAGTTAAATATATAAGAAGATTATTAGAATCAATCTTTTTAAACAATTTGATAATATTTAAATTATTTTTGAATATAAAAGGAATAATA